TTTTCTTACGACCGCGCCACCGCCACTATCCGAAACTGAGAGACAGCCAACGTCAAAGGTATGGAAGGTTTGAAAAAGATGTCAGCAAAGGCAGTCAGGCAGGGCAGTCCAGCAAGGTTATAAATTCGGGCGACTGTACCAGTCCAGCAAATGAATTCCAGTCCGCACAGCAGGGCATGCAAAGCTTAGGGTCCAAAGGGTGGACAAAGGAGATCATGCCTGCGAGCTTGTGGACTTGAAAGTCGTGTGTCGATACATGACGGCTGCAGTGCGACAACGTGGCAACAAACTGAAGTAACAAAAGCCTAAGCCTAAGCCTAAGCAAGACACAAGAACAAAGTTAGAGTAGGAAAAAAGAAGATCATCATGCGCAGCCGATCAGTTATCTGAACAGGGGGATGTTGACTTTGCGTCCTTCCCCTAAATCTATGTGCACGGACGGCTGCGCCGTCGATTGCGCCTGTGACGGCCCTGCGCTGTCATGCGAGTGGCCCGGAACAGCATGTACAGGGATGGCTGTTTGTAGATGCAGCTGGCGTCGGTCTCCCGGTCCCATATGCGAGATGACCGTAGGGGCCTCATAGGTGGGAGGTGGCGGTCCCCGATCATGCGCCTGCATCAGGGGCACCGGCGGTCTCTCGCAGTACTCCCGCACTGTTTGCACCTGTTCGCTGGTGCTTGCAAGAGCCACCGCCAGGTTGTAGAGGTTATCCTTGATCGCAGTGGAGTCCGTCTGCAGGTAACCGATCGAAGCGACGAGCTCCTGTCCCAGCTGTTCAATCTGCTTCGTCATCCCTTTGAAGCTTTTGTAGTCACAGGTGGTCACCTTCTTGATGACCTCTTTCACCCCGTCGACAATGTGCGTGTGGTTCTTCTCGGTGACCGCTTCCCAGTGGGAGTGGTTGGCCTTGATTGCATTGGCGAGGGCTCCGAGACTTTTGACCACATCCTTCCAGTGGCTGTCGGTGGCTTGTCGCACGAGTTCCAGGTTGCCACTCATCGTGGAGATCTTGGGGGCGAGAATGCCCAGGATACCTTCGATGCCTGTGAGCCTCTGGCCCATGGACTTCATCTCGGCCTGAGCTTCCGCCAGCGACTTGAGGGAGCCGCTCATGTCCGTCACCTGTTCTTTGACCCCTTTGAGCGCCAAGGCGTGCTGGGGCGCTTGACCGGTCAGCTCATCTGTGCCTGCCCAGGTTTTGGCGCCCTGTGTGAGCAGGATCTTGATGTCCTTCTGACACGCCTGGACAGCTGCCATGAGCGACTCTGGCGAGGGCTTCTCCACATCCACCGGCTTGGGCTTGGTTGCTGCAAGCGCGGCAGGTGTGGCAGGCGTCGTCGTTGGTGTCGAGGCTGAAGCTCCTGCAGCCGGGGCTTTGGCGGCTGGTGGCGTTGTCCCGGGAGCAGGTGTCGTTCCTTTGGCACCCACATTAATTGCCATCTTTGTCCTCTTTGGCGGGCGGGCTCGCCGGTGTAAAAGAAACTGATTTCTTCGAGGGTGTCGTCGTCGCAGCTGCGGTTGGCTCGGAGGGGGCTGCGTCGCCCCCTTGGCTGCCCCCAGTAGTATCCGAGGGGGTCTTGCTTGCACTCGCCTCTGACTTAGGCTCATCTGCCTCCCTTGGCTGAGTTGCTGTTCTTGTCGGGGTCCGAGTCCACCAGGCGTGGATCTCTCGGATCAGCGCAACCACTGCCAGTGTGAGGATGACCGTAAGCGCCTGGTTCAACAGGGCCGGGTCACCGGAGGTTAGCATGTCAGTCCAGCTGACGCGGGTCGTCACCGGAGCAGGTGGCGGCACTGGCGGGGCAGGAGCAGACATGGCGTCGTTATGCTACACTAGAGTGGCGTGCTGGCTTGCTCGCGAGGAAATGCTCTCAAAAAATCACAAGCAGCTGGACGTGTTCAGTGATTGGCGGCAACTCTTGAATGCACTCCCAAGATTCCAGGTTCAAACCAACGGACAACCATCCAAAGTATCTGATCAGAAGCAGCTTTCATTCGGCAAATCATCAGCATGAGCCCAGAACTCCGACTCCCAAACAACGAGCCTCCGAGCAAGCATCCGAATCACATCCGAAATAAAAGTCCGCCCTGCCCCCCCCCCCCCCCCCCCCACCTCTCTCCCTTCACTCGCAGTCCTACATAGCATGGTTTTGATTTTGCATGGGGGGGGAAGGGTACGTGTCCTACCAAAGACTGGTGACGTCAGGCCCAAAAGAGCCTTGCCTGGGCACAAACGCTCTGGAGCCGTCCTGTCTCCTGACAAAAAAGTAGGCAGAGGGGTACTCAAGGGCCTCCTTGGCTGTTTGATCAGCAATTTCGTTGAGGGCATGCCCTGTGTGAGCACGGACATGTTTCAGGACAACCTGGTTTTGGCAGCGGTGCCAAAGCATGACAAGTCCGGCCTGCAGGGATACGTGAGCAAACCCGACCGTACCTCCTTCGAGGACTTGAATGACATAGGCCGAGTCAGTAAGTAGCATGACTCTGGCATCCGGAAAGGCTCTCCGAATTTCCAAGCACTTCTCAAGGCCCTTGGTCGCTGCAAGAAGCTCAGCTCTAATATTGGTGCAGGGGCTGCCACGCAAGCGGTAGCCGCAAACTATGACGTCCTCCGCAACGGAGCCATACGGAGGCATCACGACGACCCCGGCTCCCATCTTATCGCCTTTTTGCTCCCGTCACAGGCAACACAAAAGCTGCCCGTTTCGTCTTGGTCTTCTGACCCATCCACGACTTGGTACGACGAGGGGTATGGGGGGTCGATGAGGTGTCTGAGGCAGCAGCCAGAAACGGTCACCTGTTCTAAGCAGACTTCTATGACACAAATCAACATCGTGCAGGTTTTCATAGAATTTGTCAGGGAACATACGTTTAATCTGGAAAATCTCCCGGGTAAAGCCCTTCCACCTGTCGCGGTCATGTGACATGGCCTCCCATGTCGAGGCATCGGCAGGGAGGCGGCACCTTCTCCACATGAGGGTAAGCCCATAGGCCGCATTAGGCCACCGCCCCTTGCGGCGGCGGGCTGCCGGGTTGTCTTCGACCCAGGATTCGTTGCGGACCTGAATGGCAATGCTGATAGGTCTGCGCAGGTGAGGGCCTAGGCGGCCCGTGTGCCCCCAGTACATCATGAAGGATTCGAGGTGTAGGGAGTCCCAGGGTCGATGTCCGCACGCTTGAGCCACCATGCGGGCCCCGCGGCATCTTGCGGCCCAGTTTTCGCTGGATGTCTGTAGCGGGTCGTGGGCCAGCCTAGTCATGGACAGCAGGAGTTGTGTATGTAGCCTACGTAGCTGGGAGCTTACAGCAAACAGTGGCCTGGCAGCTGCCGATAGCCATCTCCACTTGCTGGTCACAAAGGAATTCAGTAGCTGTAGTCTTTTGGTTAGTGGCCCCCGCGCCCGTGCCAAGAACCCCATGTGCCCGTAAAAGGAATTACTGGCCATGCGCAGGCGGGCCGCGATGGTCATTTGACAAGTCACCGCAAACCCAACCAATATACCGAGGAACAAGAACGAGTCCACTTCCTTGATCGGCTCCTGGAACCGCCATGGTTGCACAGGCGCAATCGGGAGGTCCGGAGACCTCAGGTACTGGCACTTTCCAGTAGCTAGGTGGAGGCCAATGGCTTCCAGGGTGTCCTGGAGAGCATTAAGCATACGCACCAGCTGGTCAGCGCAAGTAGCCAGCACAAGTATGTCATCCGCATAGATGATCACAAACAAAGGCCGCCCACTAGAATCCCTAACCCAGGTGGACTCAGCACGTTCCCATTGTTCAAGCAGCGGGCTGAGAAAATGATCCAGGGTCCTGGCGAAGATCTCTGCAGAGTACGCCGACCCCTGAAGCACCCCTCGGCGCAGCTCCTGGGTCCACGTCTGATTGGCAAAGCTCAAACTGACCTTGGAACGTACAATTAGATCAAGGAGGAGCTTCGACTCCTGAAGTGGGCCAAGGGTAGACAGAAATCTAGCGACGGCAGTGTGCTCCAGCGTGTCAAAAATGCTGCTTGTACGTCCAGCTTACAGCCCAGTAGCGGCATCCCCCACTGGCGGGAGAGATGGATCAGGTGCTTGAGCGCTACCGACCCGTCGAGGGCTTGGGCGCCTCTCTGGGACGACAGCTGTCCATTGGGCATCAGCGGGAAGTGTTCTCTGAGCCTAACTAGCAAAGTCTTCGTAAAAAGTTTGCTCAGGGAGGCCGACAACACTATGGGCCGGAAGTCCTTCGGGACTGCAGGCTCTTTGGTCTTCGGGAGTAGGACTATCTGTGAGAGGAGCCAATTCTCCGGGAAGTCCAGACTACCGAGGAGGAGCTCATTGAGATATTCAATGAGGTGCTCACATGCTTCAGATTGCAAGACAGCGGCCCAAAACTCGTAGGGAGCTCCGTCTCTCCCGCAGCTTTTGCCGCTCTTAGTCTCAAGCAGGACCTGCTCGACTTCCTCACGGGTAATGAGTTTCGGGGCTGGCATGTCAGGTCCCGTGGCTGTCCTGTACACATGCAGGGCTGTTGTCAACGGGGCGGGTCGGGTGGGGGCATACTTCTGCTTATAAAAGCTCTGTAGGCCTCCTACAGCAGGCCCGGCTCCCCCCGCGCGCAAGCAGTACTGCAGTTGTGAGGCCGTCTGGGACTGCTTCCTGCGGAAGTAACTCACAACCTGGTAGTCACCTGCTGCAGCTCGATCCAGGAGTTCCGTCCTCCAGGCTAATCTCCCTACCGAGGTTGGAGCAGCTTTTCGTTGTTGTATAAGGGCTTTGACTTGAGGTGGGTCCACAAACCTGAAGCGTCGCGGTCGATAATAGCAGTTCGAGGAAACTTTAAGGAAGTCTCTCTCTTGCAGGTCCTGTCCTCGTAAGTCAGCCTCAGTCGCTACCCGGTTGAGGTCTGGAATCGCTTTGGTGAAATCCACCAACCATTTCCCGCACTTCGTGCGTTGCTGCCTCGGCCGTCGCGGTCCTGCCTGAGGCAATCCTACACACAGCGTGACAAGGCGGTGGTCAGAGTCAAGCAAGACATCGGACTCCTCAACAACCTTAGAGTCCAGGGTCTCTTGGTGGGGGGTTCTGTACAGTACATAGTCAATCTTGGAGCAGGACCCACGGGTGTTGCTCCAGGTATAAACCTCTGGTACAGTATGAGTCAAACCAAGGTCGCGCTCCAGCAAATTTAGCAAAGCGCTGCGTTCATCTGACGAATCAGCAGTAACATGCACTAGTTCATAATTAAGGTCGCACATCAGAAAGATGTTATCGTGGCGCCGCGTACCAGAGAGTATGGAGCGCATGGCCTGAATCTGAGAATGCCAAACATCCTGCGAGTCCTGCCTATTCAAATAGGGCAGATGAACCGACAACGCAAGGGTAGACACTCCTGCTGTTCGGAAATGCACACACATCCCACAAGGCTGTATTGAGACGTGTGCGACATGGGGGGCAAGGGCAGTGGGATATCCTATCGCCTGGCAGCGGTGGCTTCCAGGGGGGCAGCCTATCACAAAGGAAATAGATTGTCCTTGGAGCCACACGGTTTGTGTCTCCCACTTACCTGCAGGGATGTGTCCAACCCCCCCCCAACTCCTGAATTCCCAAAAGATCAAACCCACCCAAGTTGAGCAGGTCCGCAGTATCTTCGAGGTTAGCGAAGTGCTTGCCCCGAACATTCCAAGTTGCAACGTGAAACGGCTTCGTCTGCTGTCGACGACCTAGTCAACGGTCCCTTCCCATGTTTAGGTGGGGTCCCGTCGACCACAGGTTCGCAAGCTCTGCCTTGGGAACCCCAATGATTTGCTCAAAACGTGCAGCAAGAAGGACCCAGCCTGAGTGATCTCCTCTGCTGTCTGTAAGGTAGACGTCATCAGAGGGAAGGTTCGAGGCTTCGGCAAGTGTTTGAACACTCCCAACATACAACTTACCTCTCCAATCCAACTCGGGGACCTCCCTTCTTCGGGCATCAGCGTACTTGACGTGAATGTAAAATTCTTTAGTTTGAACGAGAGCGCGAATCTTGTTTCGTTCTTCCGGCGTACGGTTCTTTGTCATCCACAGCTCATTGTTCTTACTACCAGGAGCTCCGGACAGGAACTTAGTGGACTTCAGCTTCTCCAGTGTGTGTGTCTGGAAGGCTCTTTGTGCACGAATGTTCTGGCAATTGGAGGGGAACTTCAAAGCGACCCGGCAAATGTTAACCCTAACATAGGGGATAATAATTTCCCCGATGCGGTCCTCCATGTTGAGACGCTTGAAGATCTGGGTCACTTCGTGCTCGACATCCGGCCTGCGTCCTTCATTCCAACCACCAATGACAAGTTCCAGGTCCTCATCTGGGTCTCTCTCCCCTCGCGGGCAGCGGGGTTGGGATGGGGAGCGTCCTCTTACCCCCTCCTGGGGGCGTCCTCTTCCAGTAGGGGTGGGAGATCTGCTCCTTTCTAAGTCCCTGGCGCGGAGGTCCTGAAACTGCTTCTCAAGTGCTGCAACACGCAGAAGGGTGCCTTCGTGTAACGAGGAGTGTTCCTTGGTTACAGCTTCCAGGTGAGAGGTTCGGATCTCCTGCTGTTGGAGCTCGGCGCGCATACCTAACACTTCTGCGTGCGTGCGATCTTGGCTGTCTTTGTTTGTGTCCGCTTTAGCATGGAGGTCCTGCAAGCTAGAATGAATCTGCTGAAGGGCATCCATCCAGCCAGGGGCGGCCCCTGCTGGTTTCGGTCCTCGACCCGTCCTGATAGGAGTGTATGGATGCGGTGCAGGAGGTACCGGCGGCTCCTCCATGCTAGCATCTGTGAGCTCATCTCCCGCTCCTACCAGGATCTCCTGAGGT